GGCACTCAGCTTACTTATACGACACCATGTGCCACTGAAAGTTGCTGCTGACTCTGGGTGACCCCGCGTGTCAGAATAGAATGGTGCTCCATGGAGTTTTTTGATGGCTGATTTTGGGGGAGTGGGTTGCCAGGCCTTTCTTCCGAGGCTCCTCTGGGTGACATTCAATTATTTATCAAGCCATCAACCAAGAGACAACGAGGGCCGTCCTGGCTCCACTTGTGCATTTCATGAGGGGGTGTGCTCCTGAGCTGGACAAGAGAGGAAACCAGAAGTGGTCTCTTCTTGGAGAAAGGACAGCTGTTAAGAGGCACTGGGCATCTGCAGTGGGTCACTGTGGGTCAGCCGTCCAGAGAACGCATTGAAAATACAGATGTCCTGGACCCACCATGGACCCTTTGGCCCAGGAACCTGTTTTGACTGTGATAGATGTGCAGCCAGTGAAGATGGACAGACACCCTCAGGAATAAATCAAGCGAGGACAGGTCCCCAGGGCAGCAAGAGACTGCTGGTGACCCCTGCCCATCAGCTGAGGAGCCGGGACAGGAAGAGGGGTGTAGGGGAGGTGGGCTTGGCATGAACTTTCATGGCCTTAAAGGTTATCACCTGACTAGGTTTGATTGGGGGTCAGCACAGAGCAGGGGAAAACTGAGGGACCTCAGAGTGGGGGTAGGGCCGCTGCCAGACCAGGGTGGATGGAGAACAAGTGCTCTAACCCCACCCTTCCGCCCTGCCCAGCTGGCCAGCCACGAGTGACCCTGCTGCCCACACCCAATGGCAGTGGGTCAAGCTGGGAGTTTGACGGTCCCTGGCCGGAGATCCCGGAGAGGTCCCCGTGTGTGGCTGGCATTGCCCCTGTCATCTACTACAGCATCCTGCTGGGCCTGGGGCTGCCTGGTGAGTAGGGGGCTGGGAGCTGGACATGTGGGCGGGGCAAGAAACAAGAGCCCCCCCCCCCCCAAGGCAGTAACCTTCGAGCTGGTCTCTGAGACTGAGAACCAGGCTCCCTGCAAGGGGGTGTCCTGGGGAGTAAAACACGGACAGGAGTGAAAATGGGACTTGAGTTGTAACATTCACTGGCTAAAGGCAGGCTTTCGACAGAGCAGAGCCCCCACCCCTTAGTGCCACCGTCAGGGTGCCAAAGGCACTCAGCTTACATCTCTGTATCTGTTCCCAGAACTGAAGTCCCCAGCATGGTGCATGGCTACAGGTGAGCACAGCCGGCTCGGCTTCTTGCTGTTGTTGTTGTTGTTGTTGTGTACTGCTGATCAAGAATCCTGGAGATTTCCCATCTTTCTCTCACTGAGCAGCTGGTGGATTCAAACCACTTGCCTTTGGGGTTGCAGCACGATTCCTTGCCACTAGGCCACCAGAGCTCCCTAGGTCTGTCTCAGCCTTGCTGTTGTTGACTGCCTTCTAGTCGAGCACGACTCATAGCAACCCTATGAACAAGAGGCCTGAAGCTTTTCTGTAACTATTGACATTTATCAAAGTTCATAGAGGTTCCAGAGGCGTGTTGTTTAGGGAAGTGGATGCTGCTCCTGATTCCTGTCTCAGCCGTAGGGTTCCCCAAGTCCAGTAAGAACACCTACCCCAAAGCTCCATTGTTGGGGGACATCAGACGAGCTGCCATTGAGTTGCCCCCACTCAGGATGGTGCCCTGTGTGCTAGAGCAGAATCGAATTCCGCAGGGTTTGCAAGCGGTGGTTTTTCTGGGAGAAGGCTCTCCAGCCCTTTCTTCGGAGGCTCTCTGAGTCTTCAGCCAGTTGTCAAGCGTGCTAACCACTTGCACCACACAGGGACTCCCTCTGGAGAACACGCATCTTGCTGTGTGTTGTGGAGTCAGTTCTGACTCCTGGTGACCCAGGAGGACAGGAGGCTCCAAGGCTTTCATTGTTACAAAACCGGATGCTGTGTCTTTTCTCCAGGAGTGGCTTGGAGGTTTGAACCACCAACCTTCAGGTAGTCGCAGAGTCCTCAGCCACTGAGCATCAACAGGGAGGGGTCACCGCAGGGACAGACAGCTTTCTGAGGCTGCTCTGGGAAGGAGCTGACCTGCATGGAAGGCTTAGCGGCATAGACGGGGCAGGGCTGGGCTGGTTCACGTCTGCGCGTCTGTGACCAAGTGGGCTTTGAGAAAGACCTAGAAAGAGGACACAGGAGCCAGGGCTGCCTCCAGCACACACGGGTGGGCATGATGGTTGGAAAGCCAGGCTTGAGTCCCCCTCTAACGCCTCTGCCCTCTCTCCCGGTGACCCCGGCTGCCCCCAGTCAATCTCCTGACAGCGGTGGCCCTGGCCCGCCTCGCCACCAGGACCAGGAAGCCTTCGTACTGTTATCTCCTGGCACTCACGGTCTCGGACATCGTCACGCAGGTGGTCATCGTGTTCGTGGGCTTCCTCCTGCAGGGCGCAGTCCTGGCCCGCGAGGTGCCACCGGCCGTGGTGCGCACGGCCAACATCCTGGAGTTCGCGGCCATCCACGCCTCGGTCTGGATTGGCGTGCTGCTGACGCTGGACCGCTACAGCGCCCTGTGCCGCCCCCTGCACCACCGGGTGGCCTCGTCCCCGGGCCGGACCCGCAGGGCCATTACCGCTGTCCTCGGGGCCGCCCTGCTCACCGGCATCCCCTTCTACTGGTGGCTGGACGTGTGGAGGGACGCGGAGCCCCCTGGCACGCTGGACAAGGTCCTGAAATGGGCCCACTGCCTCACCGTCTACTTTGTCCCTTGTGCCATCTTCCTGGTGGCCAACTCGGCCATCGTTCATCGGCTCCGCCAGAGCGGGCTGCGGCCCCACGTGGGCAAGAGCACTGCCATCCTCCTGGGGTTCACCACCCTCTTTGCGCTCCTGTGGGCGCCCCGGATCTTCGTCATGCTCTACCACCTCTACGTGGCCCCCGTCCACCACGACTGGAGGGTCCACCTGGCCTTGGACGTGGCCAACATGGCAGCCATGCTCACCACAGCAATCAACTTCGGCCTTTACTGCCTTGTCAGCAAGACGTTCCGGGTCACTATCCGAGAGGTCATCCACGACGCCCATCTGTCCTGCACCCTGGGATCTCGGCCAGAGGGCATCAACGTAGAGCCTGTGTTGAAGCTTCCAGGATTCCCCAAAAGGACAGAATCCTATGAAAGGGGGCCCAGCCACGGAGCTTGGGGTGCTTAGGGTCACAGGTGCTGGGACGTTTGTGGTTGTACCCCCAACAATGTTCCCAACACCATGCTTTGCGCTCTGGAAGTGGAGGCAGGAGGTCCTCCCTTGCAGGGTGTGAGGGGTCTCCGGGTATAAAGCAAGAGAACGTACACTCCCTTGTATCAGCTTCGCCAGCAACTTCTACTTCCTGAGAAGACAGGGGCTCTGTCAGGTACAGGCTGGTAGGATCCGCTGCCCTTGGTGTTCTTACACAAGGGATAGTCTCCTGTCATTTATGGATTCTTAGTGAGTGCTGGGTGAGTAAATGGTGGGTAAGTGGATGGATGGGTGGATGGATGGACGGATGGACGGGTGGACGGATGGGTACATGAATGAATTGGTACATGGATTGGGGATGGATGATCTGTGGTGGACGGATGCATAGATAGATGGACTTCCAGTGACAGTGCCCGGTGAAAAGGCTGGCATCTGTAGGATTCAAGGCATTTCCCAGTTCAGGAGACTCAAATGTGCTAGACTGAGCAGTGGGAGTAGTCTGCTTGAGGGACAGAAGTAAACAGAGCATGACTCAAGGGCGTCGGCCTTAGAGTGGACCCAGTGCTCCCAGTCCTGGGGTTACATGCCCTCCACTCTCACAGATCCTGCTGTTTCTGCCTAACTCCCTGCCCTGGAGTCAGAACTGGTTCAAACCACACCGACCTCCCCCTAAAAAAACCAAACCCATGGCCACTGAGTTTGGTTCCAACTTAGATAGATGCTAAGCATAGGCTAGATGCCCCACAATGTTTGCAAGGCTAGAAACCATCACGGCAGCTGACTGCCTCCTCTTCGAGGCTCCCTTGAAGCAGCTGCTGCGTTTGAACTGCTGACCTCTGGCTTAGCAGCCCTTCACTTAACCTACAGCAATACCAGCGTTCCTAGAACAAGTTTAAACTCGCTGTTGTTATTTCTGACAATAGTTACCCTTTATTGAATTTCCAAGGCTATAAATTACTTCAAGAGGAAACTGCCCATCTTTCTCCCACAGAAGCTGTGCGAGGAAGCTACCCATCTTTTCCCCCAGAGCTGCTGGTGGGTTTGAACCTGCAGCTTTGGGGGTGAGCAGAGCAGCTCCTACGGGCCCTCTGCCCCCAGAGCTCCTCACAACAGGTTCAGGGCTCAGAGTCCTCAGTACTGTTGGGAGAGAGGAAGCAGCCTCTCAGCCTAGGCGCCGGGGAGCGGGAAGGGAGGCTCAGCCGTGTCCTTCCTGGCTTGGCCTCCGATGACCCTCTGAGCCCACTCCCCTTGGAGTTCTGCTCCGTCCCTCCCCATCCTCTTAGGGCCTCTCCCTGCTTTCTGAGCTGTCAGCGGAGAAGCAGCTGGGAGAGATTAGCAGATGGGACTCCTACGTGCTCCAGCCACTGGGTAAACACATTAGCAGCCTAGACAGGCTGCTTTCTGCTGCTGGCCAGGCTGAGCTGACCTTTGCCCTGAATCTGAGGTAGCGGCTTGGCCGCCATCTGCACCCAGCTCCTTAATGGGCGATATCGGCCAGGAGCCAGATGGACACCAGGCACGCTCAAACTCAGCCGGCAAGTCAATCCCAGCTCATACCAACCCTCCACTGGGGGTCCAAGGCTGTAAATCTTAACAAGAGATTGCCCACCTTTATCTCTTGGAGCCGATGGTGGATTCGAACCACTGGAATTCCACGACCTCTTGGTTTAGCACAACACGCTACACAACATGTCCCAGAGCCCTGTGTGTCAGGCACACTGTGCAAACCAAATGCTCACCGCCTCTCTCTCTTCCTTGGACTGAGGCTGCCAAAGCTGGAAGTTTCAGACACAGAGTGAGATCCAGGCAGGTCCCCAGGCCTTTCGCCAAAATTCCAAACCCAGAGGATTTTTCTTCAGTTTACCGCAAGCCCATTTCATAGCAAAATGTGACCTGAACAGACAATATTGTTCTTGTTATGTGCTGCTAGGTTAATCTGGGCTCCTGGTCACCCGTGTACAACAGACGCAAACACTGTCAATCTTGTGTCAGCCCCACAATCATTTCTGGGTTTGTTGCAGCCACTCTGCCGCTTCCCCCGCGATGCATCCAGTTTCCACCAGTCAGTTCTTTAGGAAGTGGATGAGAGGAGAGTCTCTCCAGGCTTAGTCTGGAAGCTCCAGCGGAATGTGACCACCAGGGAGCATCCGGTGTTTGGAATCCCAATGGCATAAACTCCCAGCATCACCAACGTGCTGGCCACTAGAGCAGGACAGACTGATAGGCAAGTGGTATGTATGTATAGACCTCACTTGGCCAAGGTTGGCAGTTCAAATCCAGTGCTGTGGAGGAAAGCCCTGGCTATCCGTCTCAAGATTGCAGTCATAGAAAACCCCCGGGTGTACAGTTCTACTCAAATCGACTCAACGGCAACAGTTGTCTTTGTTGCTGTTATTGCGGACGCTTGTGCTTCATTGCAGACCACTCTGAGTGAGGGTCTGAGCTGCAGCCCATCCCCTCCTAGGACCTGACCAACACACCGTCTGGACCATACACACGACCTTTCCTGCATCAGAAATGTTTTAAATTCTAAAGCTCTCTGTTCAGAATAAGGATTTGTTATTGTTGTCAGTTACAGCTTGTTACTGTTGTTAGACGCCCTCAAAGTGGTTTCAACTTGTACGGACACTAAAACAGAACAAAACAGTGACTGGTACCCCCGCGTTCCTCACCCCCGTGGCCGTGTGTGAGCCACGGTGCGATCCATCTCATCAAAGGATCGGCCTCTTTTTTTTTTTTTTCTGGTCCTCCACTTTGCCACGCATGAGGTCCTTCTCCAGCCACTGGCCACCCCGATAGTGTGCCCCAAGAACCTGTGAGACAAAGTCCCACCCACCTAGATGCTAAGGAGCATTCTCGCTGTTCTCTTCCAGCATGGACTGGTTCATTCCTGGAGACGTATTTCATCGTCTTTGCCAATACCATATTTCAAAGGCATCAGTCCTTCTGCACTCTTCCCTACTCATTTTCCAGTGTTTGCGTGCGTATGAGAGAGTTGAAAAGACTGTGGCTTGAGTCAGGCACACCTTAGTCCTCAAGATGACACTTGTCCTTTCTAACAGATCTGTCCGGTGCAACATGCCGTTTAAACTTTTATGAAGCACATTGCCTTTGTAAGCATGATACTGAAGGGTATCATTAAATGAGTTATTAAATTATTGCCAAATCATGTACATGAAGGGTATTATTAAAAACACAGCTGTTCTTTCTTTTATGAGCTTTTGTCATTAAACTCTGGGTCTGGAGGAGAGAAGGCTGCTATGGTTTGGGTCGGCCCCTCCCTCCTTTTCTGGCATCAGTCACAGCGGTTAATCCTAATTAGCCGAAATCCTCTTGGAAATTCCGAATGCCTTCCTCACCGCTCCACCACCTTTGTTCCATTTGCAGCCCAATCTTAGGTTCTGTCATTAACCCCTTGTTAACATGTGAGGGTGGCGAGTATTAGTCACCTCTTTCTAAGCCTTTATTATTTGTTAACTCGTATTTGCTGCTCTGAGAGTTGGTTCCCACATTATTTTTCTGATCTCCGTATCTGTGCCCATATCAAAGACTCAACCCATTCCAGTGGGGCTGGAACCACTCACAGCCGATCCTCCGAGGATTCCCGGGCTGTAACTCACATAGGATCCTTCTGTCTCAGAGCCGTCACTGTGTTTGTGTGCCTTCCAGGCAGAACTGACCCATAGCCCACCCTCCATGGGTTCTCGGAGGCAGTTAACCCCACAGGAGGAGACTGTCCATTCTTCTCCTGTGGAGCAGCTGGTAGGTTTGAACTGCATGCCTTCGAAATTGCAGTTCAGCCTCTTTCCCATAGGCCACCAGATCTCCCAGACAATCCACCAGAGCTCTCAGAGTCACTGGTGGAGGGATTCAAACTGTCATGGAGACGCAGCCTTGGGTGAGCACTACAAGCCCCTACGGACGCTGCCACCAGAGCCCCAGCTAGGTCAAAGAGCAACGGTAATTTGGCAGTGCATCCAGTTTTTATTTTTTTTTAAATGTGTTTCTTCTTCTTTTTCCTCTTCCTCCTCCTCCTTCTTCTTCTTTTGTGTGTACCATCAAATCAGATCTGATTGGTACAGGAGGAGATTGTGCCTCCTTCAGCAGAGCATCTGGTGGATTCGAACCGTACACCTCTGGTATTGCAGTGCAGCTTCTTGCCACTAGGCCACCAGAGCTTGCCAAAGTGCATCCGGTTTTTAATGAAACATTTCTCTTGATTCAGCGTTGAATCTTTGCCTGTTAGAGACTGAATCGTACACACATTGCACTTCATTGAAATCTTAACCTGCACCTCAGGAGTGACTTTATTTGAAAGAAAGGTCTTTGAAGATGTAATTTATTGAGCTAATGCCATGCTGGAGGAGGGAGTCCTTCTGGGGATGAGAAGAGGCATCAACACAAACACAGACGGAAGAGGCTATGTGAAAACAGAGGCAGAGGTGGGAATGACATTGGGACACGGGATTGTCAGGGGCTTGAAGTGACAAGGAATTCTTTCCCTAGAGCTTGGGGCCCTGCTGACATCCTGTGTGGAGATATGTGGCCTCCAGACCATTACCTTGGGATGAAGATGATGTCCTGAGGTTAACTCTGTTCCTGGGACAACCCCAGGACACTCGTAGGCCCCTTTCTCTCCTCTACATTGGTGGTGCTGTGGGGTCGTGTTGGTGTAGCAGGTTCAAAGCCAGTTTTCTGTTCTTCACTTTACCAAGACTTCCTTCTTGAATGCTTGAAGGACTGCTCTTGAAATAGTAAACCTTCAAGGTTGACCCCTGTAGAGGTGCCTGAGGGGAGGTGTCTTTCATGAAGCAATTGCCCCTGGTAAATGGCTGTATTGTTGTTCGGGCCATTGAGTCAGAGAGACCATGTTGTTGTTGTGCGCCATCAAGTCACCTGCAACTCAAAGCGACCCTATGTACAATAGCCCTAAATCCTGCCCTATCCTGTGCCAACCTCACTGTCTCTGACACACC